CTCCAAGCCCTGGAGCAAAATAATAATCTGCATAAAATTAACATGCAATCAGTGTCTGTGCAGAGAAGCAATCTGGGTGATGATTGCATCTCTGGCACATACCTTGGCCTAAAAACTTTTACTGAAATAAAAACGTCAAGCACTGTCATTGGGGGGGGGGCTCAGTCACACATCAGCGTTGCTAGGGAGTCTGGTATAGTGGTTGGAACACGGGACCCCGAGACCAGGGTTCGAGACACTTTGGGGAGCCGTAATTCTGGCCTGCCGGATAGCTCAGTGGGCTAGGTCTCAGAGCCAGAAGTTGAGAGTTCGATTCCCATACCGGGTCTTTTTTTGACAGGGACTGGACTCCATGATCCGCAGGGTCCCTTTCCAGCTTTTCAGTACCAAGATGATGATGATGATGTCACCCTGGGTGACCTCAGGGCTACTGATTCCCGCCCCCGGACCAGCTTAATCTACCTCACAGGGTTGTTGTGAAAAGCAGAGCCCTGTTTCTAAAAGGAAAAGTGAGATATAAACATACCCACCAAGCCACTCAACCTCTTGGCTCTCCCTTCCCTCTGGCTTTCCCGGCTGATGCTTCTTTACCCTTCAAATAGACTTGATAACCCTTCGAACAGAGGGTTGCTTTTTAGCAGAGGGCTCTGCTTTGTAAGAGTAAAATAAAAGCATTGTTTCTAATGCTTTAGCTGCATGGATGTATTAACATCGCACATTTTCTGCTCAGAGCTGGCCTCACTGGTCCTTCTGTTTTTTTTGGTCATGCGTAGATGGGGGTGTAACAGGCAGCAGATCCCAGAGCATAATCTGAATAAATTTTTTTTTTAAGCCCCTTCATTTTCTTTCTCTGCTTCTGTCCCCTCATTTTGCTCTCGCTCTCTCTCATCTAGATTGGCACCTGTCAATCTTAAGTTCAACATGGGTGCAGTGGGGCCTCCCCACAGTATACCTGGCTACCTGAGAGGCCACCTTGGGTCCTTTTTACAAGCAGAAAGATGGGGTAAATAAATAAATAAATAAATAAATAAATAAATAAATAAATAAATAAATAAATTTGGCCCTTGAAGACAACCGGGGAGAGTCCCTGCAGCCAATGTTTCGGTGGAGGGCGTTTACTGGGTTGCCCTGCTGTCCAAAACCCCCACGGAAAGAGGGAGAGATGGACACCCCCAGAGAGGGAATGCCGTAACTTGGGGGGCCACCACAGAAAAGCCAGTGACCGCAAACCAACCGGAGTGAGTACGTGCATGTCCGTCTTCTCCAGATATAAACTTCAAAGGAGATATCCAGGGTTTAGAAAGTAAAAGGTGATGCTTATATACTCCCCCCCATAGGGCTTAAAGCAGTACCATTTAATTATGGAGGCTACATTTTGTCCCCCATTGATTCAATTGACCAACCTTGGAAGGACTCCACCTTGAGCTGGATCCGTGAGTTTCGAACTCAGGTCATGAGTCAAGAGTCTCAACGACAAACACTATCCTAACCATTTGTACAGGCTCGACTGACTGACTGACTGATCGATGGATTGTGTTAATAATAATGCACTGTCAAGTCTACCTTGACTTACGGTAACCCTTTTCCAGGGTTTTCCAGGTGGAGAATGCACAGAAATAATTTACCTTTCTCTTCTTCCGGGGGGGGGGCGCTCTCTGGGATTTCTGCGCAGCTGGCCCAAGGTCACCCAGGCTGGCTGTTCTCCCAGGAAGCACAGTGGGGGAATCGAACTTCTAGTGTCTGGTTTCACAGTCAGAGACTTAAATCGCTGAGCATCCCAGAAGTTTGATCGTGTTAGACTGAGGAAATTATTTTTATTCATTCCAGAAGCAGGCAATTTCAGTGGATGCGAAGGGCCAATTTTCTGGATATCCCCTAAAAGTGGATTTTTCTTTTTTTTAAAGGCATACAATCATTTTATCTTTTATTGTATCTTAATTGAATTTTAATTGTAAGCCACCCAAAGACCTCTGGGTGGAATGGGCGGCATATAAATAAAATAAAATAAAAAAATATTGGACATTCTCAGTTCATGTCCTCAACAGATCTGCTCAGCTCTTGCAAATTCAAGCCTGGGGCTTCCTTTAGAAGGTCAGTCCATCTCGTATTGGGTCTTCCTCTTTTCCTGCTGCCTTCCACCTTTCCCAGCCTGTCTTTTCCAGAGAACTCTGCCATCTCCATGATCTGCCCAAAGTAGGACAGCCTCCAGAGAGAGTTCAGGCTTGATTTGATCTAGGATCCACTGGTTTGTCTTTCTGGCCATCCAGGGTATCCACAAAAGCTTTCCTCCAGCACCAAATTTCTAACAAATCCATTTTTTCTCCTGTCAGCCTTTTTAGCTGTCCAGCTTTCACACCCACACACAATGATTGGTTTTCCTAAGATACAGCAATTCATGTCTTAATGTTGTGTAATGATGCAACACGATTTAGTCAGGTTTGTGATGAATCCCTGGTACAAAATATGTTTTTGTAGGGGTTGGGAGTGCAGGATTTTGAATGGGCAATTAAAAACCCTTAGCTTTACAAAAGACCTGCTCCCGGGGGAGATAGATAAGAAACCGGCTCGCTGATCCAGACCCGCGCCGGTTCCTGGATTTGGGAATACAGTACCTTTGGTGGACACGGCATTTGGGACATTTTGTCTCCACCTACGGACCTTGCCCTTTTGGACGGCTTACATCCCTCCCCGCGCTCGCCATTCCAAAGCCACCCGAAAGGCCTGAGAGCGTCAAATAATTTCCTCTCAGCAAAAAAAGTAAGTGGAAGGGAAGGAGAAAATCCCATTAAAGTGGCGGCATCGGCAGCCTCCAGCCGGAATCCTCCATTTCCATAAACCCATTATCTTCGCTGTTGCCTCAATTAATTGGAAAGCTTCCATTCTAGCGTAGCATGTCCCGGTACAAACCTGGGGTGTTTTTACACAAAGGCTCTGAAAGCTTTCAAATATTTTCAGCTTTGCTTAACATAAATTGCGAAACAACGCCGAGCCTGGCCTGAAAACATTTACCGGTGAGACTACAAAACACGGTCGCGTTCCTTCTAATGAGCGCCGGCTAAGCTTTTCATCCCCTCATGGGTTGGGATGGTTTCACGG